ACGGTTAGGTTTGCTTGCGGTTAGTGTCACTCCATTTTGCTTGCGGTTAGCGTCACTCCATTTTGCTTGCGGTTAGCGTCACTCCATTTTGCTTGCGATTAGTGTCACTCCATTTTGCTTGCGGTTAGCTTTCATTTGTATGTTAGGGTAACTCTATATTAATTTATATTACTGTTCATTATATGTAGTTTAAATTTTCGATTTTCCGGCAGCTAGCAGCCCGGTGGTACAGTGGTAAGTGAGGGCACAGTGGCCCGGGTTCGATTCCCAGTGAGGGCAAATTTATGTAGTTCTTTTTCGTCATAAAATAGTTACAAGACTTAGAATTTAAGTCATATTTAGTTGACATACTGTTTCTTCGTTTAGGAACCCGAGAGGAAGTCACCCTCAATCTACGCCCGTGAGGTAGAAACACCCTCTGAATTCTCTACTTCCGCACAACCATAATCCTTTGCGCCTTGGGGGGTTGCAGATGTAAACAAAAAAATGGCGTCGCGAACTGTCAAAGACGAGGCGAGTTCAAAACTCCCAAAAACCTTCAAGGAGGTTCCAAACGTGACTAAACCAAAACTAAAGCAAATATGTAACATCTTGTGATTATCTTATTTTTTAATATGAGTTTGGAGTAATTTTTAACTAGGTATACAATCATACAATCAGACACTAAGGCGGCTTATATTAAGGAATATTGTATTCTGTTTTAAGCTGTCCTCAAATTCATTGGATTGACTTGTTCAATGTAACGTAATTTGGAATTTGTATTAAAGATTAAAGATTAAAGATCTTATTTATTGATTTCGAAAAGTCAATCGGGAAAAAAGCTCTGGTCAACATTTTATGCAGTGCTTTGAAAATTTCAACATCTGGACCTTCCAGTAACGACTCGCAAGGCTCTACAACTTCCTACACCGGTGTACCTTCGCTTGTAGACCTAGAGAAGTTAAGAATGGCTGACTGTTAGGATCGAGAAACGCCGGTCAACGTCCCATTTGACAAATCGC